TCGTCTGGTCGCCGTCCGTTCGGCGGCGCCGACGTTGTCTCGCGAGCTCCTCATGGCCATTTTCACCTCAAGAGGAAAATCTTTCGTCCTGCGTGAGTACCGTACCACACCATACCACACCATACCATACCGTACCATACCATACCATACCACACCATACCATACCATACCATACCGTACCATACCATACCACACACCACACCACACCACACCACACCACACCACACCACACCACACCACACCACACCACACCACACCACACCACTCCACACCCACACACCACACACCACACACCAGACACCACACACCACACACCACACACCCCACACCACACACCCCACACCACCACACCACACACCACACACCACACACCACCTCACACATCACACACCACACACACCACCACACCACACACACCACACACACACACCACACACCACACACCACACACACCACACACCACACACCACACCACACCACCCCACACCACACAACACCTCACCTCACCACACACCACCACACCACATCGCATCACACCACACCACACCACACCACACCACACCACACCAGACCAGACCACACCACACCACACCACACCACACCACACCACACCACACCACACCACACCACACCACACCACACCACACCACACCACACCACACCACACCACACCACACCACACCACACCACACCACCACACACACAAACACACACAACCACACACACGCACACACGCACACACGCACGCACTCACGCACTCACGCACGCACGCACGCATGCACACACACCACACACAATCATACACACAGGTGCAATGGACGTAAGCGTCGGCACGAGCAACGGACATGTGCGTGGCAGAGAAGTAATGCAGGCCGACTGCTGGTGCCAGCGGCAGCGGAGGTAGATCACCACCCAGTAATCCAACCCAGCCCAACCCGAATACCCAAATTTGCCCTCCATTCCCAGTGGGGGGCGCCGGGGAACATTGAACAAAAATACACATGGAAACCGTACCCCCCCGACCCCGCCCGACATTTAAGTCTTCGGGTTGGGCTTGGGGTGGTCTGGTAGGCAGCCAGTTCGTCCGTAGAACCAGGACTGCAGGACCGCCAGGAGCAGCGACAGGAAGAGCGGGAAGAGGCGGCGGAGGCAGTGGCCTCGGAGGTGGAGGCGGCGGGGGGAGGCGGCGGGGGCAGTGGCCTCGGAGGGGGAGGCGGCGGGGGGAGGCGGCCCGCACGAAGACACGAAGACACGGGGCGGCCACCCGCCCACGGCGGGCGGTGCGCAGGGCCCGAGCCGGGACGTGAGCGTGTGCGGCAATGGGGGCAGCACTGTTGCGGCTGCGGCTCGGGCCTCGAGCCAAAATGGCAGCGGAGGGAGGAGGAGGGAGGATGGAGGAGGAGGAGGAGGAGGAGGAGGCGGAGGAGGAGGAGGGGAGGAGGAGGAGGAGGAGGAGGAGAGGAGGAGGGAGGAGGAGGAGGAGGAGGAGGAGGAGGAGGAGGAGGAGGAGGAGGAGGAGGAGGAGGGAGGAGGAGGAGGAGGAGGAGGAGGAGGAGGAGGAGGAGAGGAGGAGGAGGAGGAGGAGGAGGAGGAGGAGGGCGGAGGAGGAGGAGGTAGGAGGGAGGAGGAGGGGGAAGAGGAGGAGGAGGAGGAGGAAGAGGAGGAGGGGGAGGAGGAGAAGGAGGAGGAGGAGGAGGAGGAACAGGAGGAGCAAGAGGATGAGCAAGTGCAGGAGAAGGGGGATGAGAAGAATAAGGAGGAGGGGGGCGAGGCGAAGGGCGAGAAGGATGACGAGGATCGGCGCGGCAGCGACGACACCAGGCTGGCCTGCACTGGCGACTCGCACTTCACAAGCAGTCGCAAAGGGGAGCTTCGATCGCATCGCCATTGCCATCTGTCGGCGTCCGACGTCGTGAAGAGACACCACATCCTGAAACAACTCACGACCTGAGAATCCGACCCACACTTTCTCGTTGATCTCTTGGGACGGATCGATCAGGGAAGGTTTAGGGCCACAGGAAACAGGATATGAGGATGACAAGGAGGGAACCGGGAGGATGTGAGCGATGGTCGGACGAGGCTAGGACTAGGGTAAACGCGTTCCAGAGCGTTCCGGAAAGCTCTCAGAGCGATCCAGAACGCTTTGAGAAGGCCGCGGCGCCCGAGACATCTTCCAGAGCGGCCGGATCTCAGAGGTTCTCGATGTATCCTCACCCGGATCTACCCTCGTCCTGGCCCCGTCTTGAGGAGGGAACTGGGAGGATCTGAGCGACGGGGCGAGGAGGAGGACGAGGACGGGGAGGATCCACGAGCAGGGGCCGCAAGTTTAGGGCTGGTCGTAGACGTTCCCGGGGGTGGTGCTTCTCACTCTCCCTGGGCCTCCTCGTGCGGCCCCCCTCTCTGTGGCTAGGTAGTGGATCACGGAAGCCTCCGCTCCTTTGGGATCTGATGTATATCGGCGAAGATCGGGGTGACCCAAAAGGGGGTCCAGCTGAAAGGGGGTGGTGCAATAGATTTGGGGCAATTGTATTGCAAGTGTATTGCGCCGGAGGATTTTATTGCACTGTGTTGCAAGTGTGTATTGCACGCGAAAATGCAGCAACACATCTGCGCCCCGAAATGTATTGCACGCCCCAAATGTATTGCAACCCCACAAATCCGCTGCACCAAATCTATTGCACCACCCCCTTGTCGCTGGACACTCTTTTGGGTCAACCCGAGAAGAGCGACCAGTACAGTCAACGCGCCTAGTAAGGACGCGTGCCTTCATGTAGGGTACCCTGGTGTCCTTGCCTCTGCGGCCCGTCCCTTGCCGTTTCACTGGTCGCCCGCCGCCAGACAAATCGCAATTTCGGCCCCCAGGGGTCTTGCGTCCTTATCACCCGTCCTTGATACACGCTTGTACTGTAGTCAATCACGGAAGCCTCCGCCCATCTGGGATTATGTGTGTATATATATATATGTATCGTCGACATAGCGGCCAATACCGCCAACTATCGTTCAACAGCTCTCACTCAGAAGCACCGAATGGCGCTCAAACATGGCGACCCATAGCGCCCAAGAGCGCTATGCGAGGGGCAACAAAAAATGTGTCCGCTTCGCGCGCGATGGGACGCGCGCTGGCGCCATCGGGGACGACCCATCGCTTCCGTTACGGTGGGGGCGTTCGTTAAGGAATATGCCCAGGGGGCTTCAGATCCTGGAGGATTCCTTATCTAAGAAGGGCGGCGGTCATATCCATGGCCAATCCACGATCGAAGTTCCGGCGCCGCGGCCGCGCGCGGGAACGGTGGACTCCCAGGAGGACGAGCACGGCCTGTTTTGAGGTGCTCGCCCCTGGGGGTCCCGCCCGCGCGGTGCATGACGAATGCGAACAAGGGCGCCCGCGCCCTGCGAGTACTATCGGGTCGGGCGAAAGGGGGGATAGCAAAGGGGGGGTTTGAGAATCAGCTCACGTAGCTGATTTTCCCGGCGCCTACCGGCTCCGGAGGCGGCTATGTATCGAGAAATGGACCCCTCGGTGGGGTGCATGCAGCAAATTTCGTAACCCCCCCTTTCCCAATCCCCCCCTTTCGTCCGGCCCGATATTAACGCCCCCACCGAAGTCGCTTTCTGCCCTCTCCGCCGTGCCCCCCCCCCCCCCCCCGCGTGCCCGCAGAGGTGCCGCCCACCGCCCGCCGGCTGCCCCGCCGCCGCCGGGGCCCGTGCCGCCGGCGAGCGGGTCGGAGGCCCTGCCCAGCGCTCCCCGCCTGCAGGGCAGGCGGGGGCTCTTTGGGGCCCTGCTCGATTCTGGACGCCCGAACTGGGTACCGAAAGAATGGGTACGATGCCCAACAGCAGGTCTTGTTCATTTTGAACAGGATTCGCTGTCCACGCCGCTGCGGCCTGTATCCATTCGAGACACAACAGCGGCCGCTGTTGGTTTGGGACAACATTTGTTGTTGGGCATTGTGCCAATTTTTTTCGTACCCATTTCGCGCGTCCAAATCGATGCTCGTTGCTGCGGGCCGCTTCATCCCCAGACCCCCTCGAGCCGTGGAAGGAATCGCGACGGGAGGTGTTTCACTATCTTCGGCCCCTGGGGGCCCTGACCGGCCCTCGGGACCGTGAAAGAACGACTCGGGATGAAAAGCCGGTCCCGGGGAATGGGGTCCGGGGTCGCGTCATGAAAAAAATCATGACGTCGGGGGTCTGGGTCAGAGGAGGAAAAGGTACCCATACCTCTACCCTTCCCTCGCTTTTGCCCCTGTTTGGGCCTCCTGGGCGGCCCTCGTCGCCACCGCTGGATTCGCCTAAATCCCGGCCAGAACGCACCCCAGGAGAGGTCCGGGGAGTAGCAGTATCGGTACCGTTTTGTTCTCCCCACTTCATCCCCAGACCGAAGGTCCGGGCCTCCCAGATATGGGCCGGAGCCAATGGGGTCGGAGGATCGTGCCGCATCGCCGATGCGCCGACGATGCGGATCGATGCAGAGCCAGATTTTCTCCAGGCCGACGGCGCCGATGCATCGCTGACGTCGCCGATACATCGCTGATTCATCGGTCATGTATCGCCGATGCGTCGGGGATGCGACGCGGTCGCTCGACCCCATCTACTCGGACACCATCTGTGAGCCCTTCTTACTTAGAAGAGCAACAAAGAGCACAGACATAAAACTGGGATTTGCGCTGTGATCTGGGATCTGCGCTGGGCACACCTGGCGGCGCCTGTGGCGCGCTCCGCGCGCTTGGGAGGGGGGCCTAGCGCCGATCTAAGACATCTGCGCGGAGCTAGGGAATCACGGTGATGCCGCCTTTTGTTCCTCCAATAGGGGTAGATGCCTTCGATCCCCTGGAGTCGACTCCGCCACGACTCACGGCCGACTCTGGGGCGCAGCGGGTGGCCGATGGTGGGCAATTTGGTGGGCCGTCCGCGTTGCAGGGCACATTGTGTCGCAGGGGCCGTCGTTGCGACACGCTAGGCACACATTCCTGACCGCAATGCTGGCGCGCCCTGGGTTTCCGGATTTGGCCATCCATGTGTGATTCAAGTCATTTTGGCTCAAGTGTCTTGGTCTGGTCATGTTTTTTCAGATTAAAGTCGCGCAGTATTCCTACTTAGAAAAAGGGTGCTTCAGGGCCGCCAAAGCAGCGCGTTCTGGAATAAAGAGACCCCTGGGCCGTCAGCAGTTGACTTGCAGCCTCGGGAGACGACGTCCAATATTCCGATGAACGCTTTAATCGAGAAGTTGCCGCTGATCATTGCATGGTTCACGGCGTTCTCCATGCGCATCGTGGTGCTCCCCGAGGTATGGTCGTTCTACGTGCCCGTGGTCTCCCCTGTGTACGGATCGGCGGCACACTGGTTGCGCTCCTCCTGGCGTACCCATGCAATTCTGGCTCACGTGCTCTCGGGCGTCTTGACGGTGCTGTGCGGCATCGTTCAGCTGGACAAGCCGCTCCGTCGTGCGCGGCCAGGGCTGCACCGGTGGTCGGGGCGGCTATACATGGTTGCGGGGGCGATTATGGTGCTGACGCTTCGGCCACTCCGCGAGACCAGCGGCGGTTTCGCGCGCCCAGGTGACGGAGCGAGCCCGGCGATGGCCCTGTTCATTGATGCCACCACAGTGGCGTGGTTTGCGTCGGCGGTGCTGGCCGTGTTTTACGCCGCAGTGCGGCGCGATTTCATTTCCCACCGGCGGTGGGCCGCCACAAATTTCGCGGTAGTCTTGACGCCGCTCGCGCAGCGCATCTCCCTGATGCTGATAGTGCCCGCCGCCATCGCTGGTCGATTGATGCGTGACGCCCTTGTGCACGGCCTGCCGTTTTGGAGCTCAGCTTGGGGAGTGGCACCGCAGACATGGAGCGGACCGCCGTCTGCGCCCAAAGTTTTGAGCTTCGAGGGCTACGGCGTGGCAGAGAACATGGTGTTCCCATATCCGGCTGCCTGCGGCGAACCCCTGCCATACTGCCAGCGCAGCATTTCAGCGTGAAGGAGGTTGAGCCAAAGATCCTTCAGCTCCACTTGTGGGTGGCGTCAACGGGGGGGGGGCGAAAGTTGATCGCGTTTGCCGGTGCAAGATCGTCTTTTTGTTTCTCGGAAGGCGGCCCGCGCATGTGAAATGTTCCCCGTAAGTTTCGCCAGTGCGGCAGTTTGAAAACGCCTCGATGTCGCTCTGGGTTGGCTTTGCGTGTGACTGAAGCGGTTGGGGCCTGGGTGCGTGTTTACCGGCGTTTCTTTTTCTACGTTTGGACACGCCATTGCGATTGTGCGCTTTGGAGCGAGACCAGCGGGATCAATATATTGTTTGCTCTGGGTCAAGGGGCAGATGTTTTCAGAATGCCCGAGTTTGGAAGCGGTTCTGGGGGCCATCCCCCAATTTGGTCTTCGCCAGCGTCGTCCCTCTCAACCATCTTGTGTTATTAGGGCCTCGTTTCGAAGAGAGTGCCCCGCGTTCCTTCCTCCTCACCTCCTCGCCCCCTTCTACCTCCTCCCTTTTCCACCATGCGTCTCCCGCGCAGGACAATGTTTCGGGGCTCTGTGGGGGTCTCCGCCGAAGGCCCCAGTGGCTGCACTCGTATGCGGCTCCCCCACCCAGGACTGCGTTTCGTGGCGCCATAGGGCTTGCTACCGAGAGCCCCAGCGGCTGCAGTAGCATGGGGTTCCCCCACTCAGGTCGGCGTTTCGTAGCCCGAAAAGGAGTTCCACCTAGAGCCCGAGCGGCTGCACTCGCATGCGATACTCTCCGCCCAGGATCGCATGTCGTGGCCCCGACGAGGCCCCAGTGGCTGCACTCGCATGCGGTTCCCTCCGCCCAGGATCGCGTTTCCCGGCTCAATCGGAAACTCCATCGAAGGCCAAGTGGCTGCACTAGCATGCGATCCCCCCACCCAGGACCAAGTTTTTCGGCCAAAGCGGGGATTCCACCGAAGGCCCTGGTGGCTGTACTCGGATGCGGCCCCCCCCACCCAGGACAGCGTTTCGTAGCCCCGTGGGGAGCTCCACCCAAGGCCCCAATGGCTGCACTCAGATGCGGTTCCCCTGCCCAGGGCCGCGTTTCTCGGCTCGATCGGGAGCTCCACCGAAGGCCCCGGTGGCTGCACTCGCATGCGGTTCCCCCGCCCATGACAGCGCTTCGTGGACCCTTGTGGAGCTCCATCGAAGATGAAATACTCACAATTGCGGAACCCACAACTGCATATGGTGAGGGCCATCTCCAGGCAAATATTTGCGAGGAATCGTTGCCGCGAGAGCGTGGACCTGATGTACCTCCACGGAGGATCCTTGTCGCGGGAGTGAACATTTGCTGTTCTTCACTGGGGAAGCGGGGCCCGATGCATGCGGCGCTCTGCGGCGAGAGGGGCGGGGGCAGCCCCTCCGAAGACCTGCAGAAACCCTGCCAGACAACCCTTGGCATTCTAGCGCGCCCCTAACGAGCACAAGGCCCTGTGGCATGTGCATCCTCCACCGTTTGCCCTCGTTTGGGAAATATGTTTTGGCTCCACTTGCCATGATCCATGCCATCGGGTCCTCGCCGTCTGCTTCTCCTGCCGCCCATCCTTCTGCTGCTTTCCTCATGCTCCCAAATCGCATTGCCATCAAACCCTTTCGAACACTTCCATTGGACACCGCAAACGGTCTCAATTGTCCTCAACTGGACCGCCTTTCTCGTCTCAATTTCTCTTAACCCACGGTTGGAACGGAGAATTATATTTCAATTTCTCTCAAAAGATTTCAATTTCTCTCAATCCGTCTCAATGTTTCTCAATTCGCCTCAAAACGAGAGTTCCATAGTGTACGCCGGCGTGCTGGGGCCCCGCTCCCCTCTCAAAATATCTTTTTGGGAATGCCGCGCAGTCCCAAGCCAGTTCAGATTTTCTTGCCTGCTATTCCAATTCATCCGGAATTGGGTTCCCATGGATCTCATCGTGCTCCTCATGCTCCTCCTCACTCCTCACTTTCCACCCCAGCTAGCTTCTCCTCATCCTGATCCTCCTCCTGCTCCCCCCTGCTGACCGCTCGTGCTACTCCGCCGAAAGGCCCCAGCGGCTGCAGGCGCATGCAGTTCCCCCACCCAGGACAGCGCTTTGTGTCCCTAACGGATGCCCCACCGAAGGCCCCAGTGGCTGCACTCGCATGCCGGCCCCCACTCCAGACAGCGTTTCGTGGCCCCGTAAGGAGGACCACCCGAGGCTCCAGTGGCTGCTCTCGCATGCGGTTCCTCCGCCCAGGACAGCGTTTCGTGGCCGGGAGCTCCACCGAAGACCCTGGTGGCTGCATTCGCATGCGATTCCCCTGCCCAGGACCGCGTTTCTCGGCTCAATCGGGAGGTCCACCGAAGGCCCCAATTGCTGCACTCGCGTACGGTTCTCGCACCCAGGACAGCGTTTCGTGGACCCATCGGGAGCTCCATCGAAGACGATATTCAACACTGCGTAACCCACACCTGCATATGGTTGGGTCCATTGCCAGGCTAATGTTCCCAAGTTTCCGTGGCGAAAAAACATGATGCGCGCCGCCTGCAATCCCGTCACGGCCACTGGGAGGAGAGGGCGCGAGAGGGAGGGTGGCACAAACGAGGATGGAGGAGGAGCAGGGGGGGAGGAGGAGCAGGAGGAGGAGGGGCAGTAGGATGAGGAAGAAACCCCGTATGGGGTCACGAAACGCTGTCCCCGGTGGGGGACCCGCATGCGAGTGCAGCCACTGGGGCCTTCGGTGGAGCTCCCGATGATGCCACGAAGCGCTGTCCTGAGAAGAGGAGCCGCATGCGAGTGCAGCCACCGGGGCCTTCGGTGGAGCTCCCTATGGGGCCGCGTAGCGCTGCCCTGGGCGGGGGGAACGCATGCGAGTGCAGCCACTGGAGCCTTCGGTGGAGACCCCTACAGAGCCACGGAACGCTCGTCTGAGTGGGCGAACCGCACGCGAGTGCAGCCCATGCGGCTTTCGGCGGAGCTCTCGACGGGGCCACGAAACGCGTGGGGGAACCGCACGCGAGTGCAGCCACCAGGGTCTTCGGTGGAGCTCCCGACGGGGCCACGTAGCGCTGTCCTGGGTGGAGGAACCGCATGCGAGTGCAGCCACTGGAGCCTTCGGTGGGGATCCCTACGGGGCCACGTAGCGCTGCCCTGAGTGGGGAACCCATGCGAGTGCAGCCATTGGGGCTTTCGATGGGAACCTCTTTGGAGACGCGGAACGCAGTCCTGGATGGGCGAACCGCATGCGAGTGCAGCTGATGGGGCTTTCGTTGAGCCCCCATGAGGCCCCGAAGCGTTCTCCTGGGCGCGGGAGGCGCATGGTGGAGGAGGGGGAAGGGAGGAGGGGGACAAGGAGGAAAGGAGGAAGGAGCGCCGGGCACTGTCTCCTCAAAACGAAGGCCTAACACCACAGGATGGTTGGGAGAAACGAACGCGCACATTCGCATAGCGAGACCCTATGCCCACTGCGGCCGCGAGCGTTCTTCGAGGCGTGATCCACCGAGAGCAACCGCTCCGCTTTCGCACGCGCACAGTAAGACACCACTTCAGCACTCTTCTTGAACGCTCGCTCTGGCAGAGAGTTCACCAGGGCACCGCCCAAGTGGCCCATGGCATCTACAATGCCGTGCCCGTCTTCGCCTCACCAGCGTCAGTAGCGCGGTTTCTCTTCCTTGCAGGCCCCGCAGCGCTCTGGTCTAGCAGGCGAGTCGGTCATTGGGCTATTCCCCAGGAAGTTCCGATTTGGCCGCTGGCAGCGTTCCAATGGTTTGATGTCACGAACCGTCTGTGCCGCAATGTGTTGCAATGGTGCGCGGTTGCGCCAGGATGTTGTTCCGAGCTACCCACCCCACGGCTCCGCTGTGTCAACTTGGTTTTGCGTGGCGCCCTTCCCAATGGGAAATCCCATTGTTGTTGCGCATCGTCGTGCAATTCAATGGTTTTGGTTGTGTTTTGAGCGGCCTTTTGCTGTCTCATCGGCGGTTTGGTTGCCCCCCCCGCTTCCGCCACCCCCATGTGGAGCTGCATGCTGCAATTCAGCGCGCGGGCTGAACTCGAGTGTGTCTTAAACTCGACCTCGTTCCCTCGGCCTCTTGGGGGCCCCTGAAAAAGGCCTATCGGGCGCCTCTTGGGGGGCTCTTCTGTCGGGCATCTTGGGGCCATTTGGGCCGTCTTGAGGGCCTCTCTTGGCCCGTCTAACGCCTTCGGAGGCCTTCTTGGGGGCCTTTCTGGGCCGTCTTGGGCTCCTCTTGGGGTGCTGTTGGGCTGTTATGGCGGTCTCTTGGGCCGTCTTGGGGCCCTCGTGGGGCTTGTTTGAGGCCTCCTCTGCTGTCTTGCGTGCCTCTTGCGCTGTCTTTGAGGCCCCTAGAGCCGTATTGGGCTGTCGGAGGCCGGGAAAGGCGGGACCGAGAGCACACATTGATACCATGTTTGCCAGCGTGGACCCCAAGCAGTGCACGATTGCATTGTGAGCATATCTCGCCATGCGTAAGCCATGAGGTGTAATGTTTGCGATGTGCGCTATGCGATGACAAACGGGATTCTCACACTCGTTGATGCTCCTTTCCAAGAGGCTTACATCTGCGCCTCCGTTGGCGATACATCTCGAGACTACAGTTCAAGGCCGAAGGCCCAATTTCTGCGCTGAGCTAAGCCCTGTTCGTTCGCCACTACTACGGGAATCGTATTTAGTTCCTTATCCCCCGCTTACTTACATGCTTAAGCAATCAGCGGGTTTGCTGACCTGTGGCGTACGCTATCTGGTGCAAGCTGTGTTGTGCAAGCTATGTCGCGTACGCCATCTTGTGTAACCAAAGGAGGAAAAACCACCCAGACCGGACAATTGGCGTTTACCAGACGGCCCTGGCCCTTTACTACCTAAACAGCCCTGCCCCGTTCGATTCCTTCTTGGGGCGCGTTTGCTGGACGACTTTTCGCGTGCTGGGGTGGCTATACTGCGGGATGGAGTTTTTGACCTCTGTGTAAGCTGTGTAGTGCATGCTGTGTGGTAACAGCTAAGTATCGGGGGTGGACAGAACCCCCAACCGTGACACGTCGATTAGTGAATTGTCTGTTTTCGGTTCTCGAGAGGGCGCCGTGGCTGTTATTTTCCAGGCTTGCGCCCGCCAGGTTTGGGCCTCAGGTCGTTTTCACTAAACCACGTTTTGCTAAAGGGGGGTCTGTCCATCCCCGAAAGTAGTACAACCAATCCGGCCGCCCAGCACACCGGGCGCCCACGGGGCGGCCGCGGGCGGGCCACCGGGCTTGAAACCTCGGCCGAGCCGCCCGGCGCAGGAGGCGCCCACGAGGAGCCCGCGGGCGCCCGCCACCGGGCGAAGCCTCGGCCCGGTAGCGTTTCAACCGATCCCCATCCCCATCCCCATGCCCTTCGAGAGCCCCACCAAATGACCACCCCAGTTGGGGAGAAGCAACTTGTGTTCCTCCTCTCCGCCTCCTCCGCCTCCTCCTTCTCCTCCTTCTCCTCCTCCTCCTCCTCCTCCTCCTCCCCTCTTTTCCCTCCTGCTTCTCCTCCTGCTTCTTTCCCTCCTCTTCCTTCTACACCCCTCGAAGCCCGAAGGGAAGGACCTATAGGGCCCGATCTAGGAGGGTAAAGCGGCCAGTGGGGCCCAGGCCACGCCGCTGGGGATGGGGAGAAGTTTGAGCGATGCTCATCGGCCGATCCACCCAGCGCACGGGGCGCCCACGTGGCGGACACCAGGCGAAGCTTCGGCCGAGCCACCCAACACGGGGCGCCGGCGAGGCTCCCGCGGGCGGCCCCCCCCAGCTTGGCCGCGAGCGGCACCCCGTTTGGCCCGTTTGGCGCGAGGTGCCCACGAGGCGCCTGCGGACAGGCATCAGGCGAAAGCTCAGCTGGCCCACCCAACGCGATGGCACCAACCAGGCGACTCCTGCAGGAGCAGGAGTCAGATCTCCCCTGAGGGCAAGCACTGTTCAGAGCATCGGGCCTGTCAGCGTCTTTGGTGGGTTTCTCGGAGCCCTCTCGGGCTGTGTCGTGTATCGGGTGCTTCTTGGGCCGTCTGGCGCCTTCGGAAGAGGGTCTTTGGGCCATCTTGGCGCCCTTTTGGAGCTTTTTCGGGATGTCATGGAGGTCTCTTGGGCCGTCTTGGGTCTCTCATGGGGCTGTTTTGGGGGCCTATTGGTCGTATTGGGGGCCTCGTGGGCCGTCTGGAGGCCTCTGGAGGCGTCTTGGGCGATCGGAAGCCCGAATCGGCGGGAACGCGAACTGCAGTGAGATACGCATGCCGCATGCGCAGTCACCATGTTCTTCTGATTCGGGCCTCCCAGACGGCCTCTTGGAGCCATCTTGGGCAGTATCGGGGGCCTCTTAGGTTGGTTATCGCTCTCTTGGCCCGTCTGAAGCCTATGGTTCCTCTTGTGCCGTCTTGGGTCCCTCTCAGGGCCGTGTCGGGGGCCTCATTTGACCGTCTTCGGGCCCTGCGGGCCCGTCTTGTAGACCTCTTGGGCGATCTTGGCCTCTCGGAAGCCCGAGAAGGCGGGAACGAGAAAAACATAGAGACGTCTACAAGCAAATTCATGAGTTTGGCTTATTCGGGCCCGCCTGGAGGACTCATAGAGCCCTCTCGAGCTGTATCGGGGGCCTCTTGGGCAGCCTTGGGGAAATCGGTGGCTCTCTTGGAGGCATCTTGGACCAGCGTGGAGGCATCTTTGGACCATCTTTGATTCTCTTGGTTGTTGGAGTCGTCTGTAAGCCGAAATGGGCGTGCTGTAGAGCAAATTCAGGGGGGGCGGCTTTCCAGGGGCATTCGCGGCGTTTTGGGGGAGCTGATTCTATGTCGTGTCGTCAGAATTCCAGTTCGTCCGCTCATTTTCGGCCGCTTCGATTCGTCAGCTTCGATTCGCCCGGCTTCAGTGCGTCAAGCCTTCGAAGGAGGACGATAGCTGGGGTTAGGTCTGGCATGCCCCCCATACAGGCAGATTTTGGAGGAAACATGAAACAGAGTCAAGACATATATGCAAACATGGTTAAGCGATCGTCGAACCATCGTCCCCAGGGATTTGTTTAAACGATTCTTGAACATTCCCCCTGTAGAGGGACATGCCCGACTTAAACTAGGGGGGGGCTCGGCCCCAGAAAGCACGACGGAAAGCTCCGTCAGGCAGCAGAGGAGCACGTTCTGCCACGCCTCAGCGTGTCGAGGGCACGGCGGCGGCTTCCGCGTGGCTGGGCTTCTCGCTGGTCGCGGCTGCAGCTTCCCTGGCCGCTTGGGCGAAGGACGACGGGTTTGCCTCCCACCACCACCAGAAGTTGGAGGGGGGAAGGAAGTGGATTATGATGATGGTGATGATGATGATGATGATGATGATGATGATGATGATGATGATGATGATGATGATGATGATGATGATGACGACGACGATGATGATGATGATGATGCTGATGTTGATGCTGATGCTGATGCTGATTCTGAGGATGATGATGCTGATGCTGATGGTGATGCTGATGCTGATGCTGATGCTGATGCTGATGATGCTGATGATGATGATGATGATGATGAGGAGGAGGAGGAGGAGGAGGAGGAGGAGGACTCCCTCCCCCTCCTATATGTGGTGGTGGCGATGGAAAACAGGCCCACCAAAGGACAGCCCTCCAACCGCGGCGGCCGTTGACGCGGACGTCATCGGCGCCGACGAGGGCGGCGGTGGCCGTGCCAGGGGGGCGAGCGGCTGCAGGACCACCGGCGGGGCAGGCGCGAACAATCGGAGAAGGAACCGCGGCATAGGCATGGCTTCGGATGAATTTCCTGGGAGGTACTGTGCCCTGGCCCCCAAGTCCGGGCTTAATCCCGCTTGATCCCGTTCAATCTGGCTTAATCAATCCCGCCAGGTCAGGCTTATTCCCGCTGAATCCGCGGCCTGATCCGGCGTAGCAGCCCCCCGGTGGGGCCGAATTCTCCTGAATCCTTCCGACGAAGACCTCCAACTACAGTCAACCCGCATAAGAAGGATGGGCAACCTTCCCAAGGGGACCCATGCATCCTTGCCTCCTCGGCCCATCCTTGGTCGCTTCCGTTGGCCGCGCCCCGCTCGCAGAGTGTCAACGTGGCCTTCAAAGACCCTTGCATCCTTACAGTGGAGACCCACGCCAAGAAAACACCCTGCTCGCCTAAGAGTGTGACGCTCCCGCACCTAATTTCAATGGACGTCCTGGGGTCTCAGGGTTGGGCTTCTTGTGGCAGGCTTCTTGTGGTCGGCCCCCCACTGTATCGTGCGTCCTTGTGATACGGGTTGGCTGCAGCTGCCTCCCAAGATGTGGCCTTAAGTCGGGCGTGTCCCTCTTCAGGAGGAATATCCACCAATAGTCAAACAGTAGTCTGGGGACAAATATTATTTAATGTTTTTTTTTTTTTTTTTGTGTGTGTGTGTGTGTGTGTGATTTTTGTTTTTTTTTTTGGGGGGGCTATTTTTCATGTTTTCTTGAATTCGCCTGTAGGAGGACATGCCCGACTTAATCCTTGTGACATCGTGCGTCCTTATGTCGGGGGTGGACAGACCCCCCACCCTGGTTCTGTCCATCCCCGGATGATACGAGTTGGCTGTAGCTGCCGCCCATGACGTGGCCTTCCGGAGCTCCGCGCGAGCTTCTCGCAGCGCCGCCTCGGCCAGGAGGTCGGCGCCATTCATCCTTGCCTCCTCGGCCCATCCTTGGCCGCTCTCGTGGGCCGCGCCCCGCCGCTCGCAGAGTGTCAACGTGGCCTTCCAAGGCCCTCGCATCCTTACAGCGTCCTTATGCTACGGGTTGGCTGTAGCTGCCTCCCAAGACGTGGCCTCCCGGAGCTCCCCCCGCGGGCCTCTCGCAGCGGCGCCTCGGCCCCCAGGGGGTGCCCCCGCCTTGAGTTCCGCGTCGAGTCTGCCAGAAGACGCAGCACTGTTCCTGGATCCGGCGAAAAAACACACCGTGTTTGGGGTACAGCAATATTCTGGACTCGATCCCTTGCTCGAGTGGCTGTGCCGCGCAGTTCCGTCCTCCACGCGCTCTCCTCTGGGAGCTCAGCGTCGCAGAGGCGGTCGCGGAGGCCGCGGAGAAGCTCGCGCGCGCCGTGCCCGGGCTTGGCAGGCTCGCGCAGCCCCTGCGGCGCTGGGCGTCCCCCCCGCTGCCTCGGGGCGTGCTCTGGGGGGCCGGCGCGCTGCTCGTGCCGGCGAGCTACGCGGGCATCGTGGCGAACACCGCCGCCACCGCTGTTGCCATATGCAGGAGGCTTGCTCCGAGGATGGTGGGCCTGTTTTCCACCACCGCCACCAGAAGCTGGAGGGGGGACGGAGGAGGAGGAGGAGGAGGAGGAGGAGGAGGAGGAGGAAGAGGAGGAGGGAGGAGGAGGAGGAGGAGGAGGAGGAGGAGGAGGAGGAGGAGGAGGAGAGTGAGGAAGGAGGAGGAGCAGGAGGAGGAGGGCGAGGGAGGAGGAGGAGGAGGAGGAGGAGGAGGAGGAGGAGGAGGAGGAGGAGGAGGAGGAGGAGGACCCCTTCCCCCCTTTAACTTCTGGTGGTGGTGGTGGAGAACAGGCCCATCAGAGGAGGGCGAGCGGAGGGAGCCGGTGGCTGGCCGTCGGGGGCCCCCCTCGTCGCCACGGCCGGGCGCAGCTCGGACAGCCTGCGCGCCTGGAGCCCCGGAGGGGCCTGGGGGCCGACTTTGAGCTCCCGTTGTCTCCACTCGCCCTGCTCCGACTTCGGCCGTTCCGCCGATCCCCAGAAGAGGAGGCAGGGCTGGACCTGAACGGTGTTTTTTGGTGATTTCGTGGGCCGTCTTCGTTTCGACTTCGTTCTGCGGTAAAGGTGGATTCGAGACAAAAGCGAGGGAAAACGAAAACAAGACGAAAACGGACAACACCGTTTAGGTTCAGCCCTGAGAGGAGGTATGCGGCTTCCCATTTCGTGTGCCTTTTTCGCCGTTTCCCGTCGGGCTGCCTGCGCGTAGGTGTTGCTGATTCGTCCTCCTATGCCTCCGCGTCTGTGGTGGGGCTTGCTGCGGGCCGGTTCGAGGCGGCCTCTGGGAGCCTTTTCAGGTGGGGGCTTTGGGGGGCCTCCTGGGGGGTTCTTGGGGGTCTCTTGGTGGCATGTTGGGGGTCCCGAGGGCCATCCTGTGAGGGAGGGTTCCTGGGGTCCCTGCGATTTCCCCCTGTTGGTCCCCTCGTGAGGCCCTCTTGAAAGCCTTTTTGCCTGTCTCTGGAGCCTCTTAGACCGTCTTAGTGCCCTCATGGGCCGTCTGCAGGCCTTTTGGGGGCCATCTTGGGCCAGTCTCGTGGGCCTCTCGGGCCGCTTTGTGCCCAGCTGCATCGGCGTAGGACCCTCTTACCCGTCTTTGTGCAACAGCGCAGCAGGAAGGAGGCTGAGCGTAGGATCAGCACAATCCCGACGAGTAGTCTGCATGGGGGCGGGTTGTGATCCTGACCTCGTCTTCGTCCGCGCGGTAGGGAGGATAAGGAGGAGGAGGAGGAGGAGGAGGAGGAGGAGGAGGAGGAGGAGGAGACGGAGGGAGGAGTGAGGAGGAGAGGATAAGGGGGAGGAGGAGGAGGAGGAGGAGGAGGAGGAGTAGGAGGAGGAGGAGGAGGAGGAGGAGGAGGAGGAGGAAGAGGAGGAGGAGGAGGAGGAGGAGGAGGAGGAGGAGGAGGAGGAAGAGAGGAGGAAGGGAGGAGGAGGAGGAGGAGGAGGAGGAGGAGGAGGAGGAGAAGGCCTCTTGCAGCCTTCTTGGGGCCTCCTGGGGGCCTCCTGGGAGCTTCCTGAAAGCTTATTGGGGGCTGCGTGGTGGCCTCACGGGGCCTCTCGGGGGCCTCGTGGGCCTCGTCGGCCGTCTTAGAGGACTCTTGGCCCGACTGACGCTTATGGATGCAGCCTTGGGGGCCTCTCTAGGCCGCGTTCGTGCCCTCTTGGGGCGGTTTACGGCCGTCTTGGGGCCCTCTTGGAAGCCCCTTGGGTGATCTTTGGGTCCTCTTGGGCCGACTTGGGGCCCTCTTGGGGGCCTCTTGGGTTATCTCGGAGCTATCTTGGAGGCCTCTTGGAGGCTTCTCGGGCCGTCTCGGGCCGTCTTGGGCGGGCCGTCTTGGAGCCTCAACATATTTCGAAACACCAAAGGAAGATCAATGGTTCGGGCATTCCAGAAGGGCCTCTTGGAGACCTCTTGGGCCGTCTTGAGGGCTCCTTGATCAGTCTTGAGGCTATATTGGGAGCCTCTTGAGCCGTCTTAGGCCATCTTGGCCTCATATTGGTTGCCTTGAAATCCGTCCTGGGGGCTCACGACATATCAGGAGGTCCCCAACACGGCCCAAGAGGTCTCCAAGAGGCCCTCCAGCAGAGCCTGAGGAGGCCAACACGGTTTTCGTCGGATTTTGAGGTTCTGGCATGTTTGGGTTTCCGATCGACCAAGGCAGCCCAAGGGTCCTTTCTGGGCCGTCTTGTTTCTTTCTTGGAGCGTTTCAAGGCCGTCTTGAGCTCCTCTTTGGGAGCCCCTGGGGCGATCTCTGGGTCCTCTTGGGCCGACTCAGGGCTCTCTTGAGGGCCTCTTGGCCGGCCTTGGAGCTGTCCTGGGGGCCTCTTGGAAGCCTCTGGGAAGCCTCTTGGGCCGTCGTGGTCGGAAACCCGAACGGGCTAGAACCTCAAAATCATTCAAATAACGAAAGAACATCAATGGTTTTGGCCTCCCCGGGCCCTCCAGGAAGGCCTACTGGAGCTCTCTCGGGCCGTCTTTGGGGCCTCTTGGGCTGTCTTGAGGTTCTCTTGGGCTATCTTGAGCCGTCTCAAGACCGTCTTGAGCTGTCTTGGGTCATCTTGAGCCTTGCTGTTGTCGTCTTGGCTATCTTGGAAGCCGTCTTGGAGGCCATCTTGGCAGCCTGGAGGCCGAAACGACTGCCAGATACAATTTCAAAGGGACGATTTTCGAACCACGCGCGCGGGGAACGGGTGGGGCTAGACAATTAAAGCAAAACGCCTCGCAGAGAACAGACGCGCATGCTGACACGCCCATCCCGTGCAGGCTGGTTGCGGATTTTCAGAAGCAAGAGAAAGCGAAGACCATTCAACCGCCATACAGAAAGCAATGATTTTGGCCAATTGGGGCTCTACTGGGTGTCCTTTTTGTACCCTCTTGGAGCGTCCCTGGAAGTTCTAATGGGTATTAGTGAGGCCTCTCCTGTGTATCGGGTTTATTCCGAGTCAGTCATGGCTTTGTGGTGGCCACGACGGAAGGGGGATATCTTCACACGGACTTGCATGCCCAGCAAGCCAGGGTCGGCGGATTTGTGTGGAAGGCCGCCATTCTGGTCATCCCGGCGCTGCTCTCGCTTTTTCTGCTGCTGGTGCGCCTCGTGCTCGACGGCAACCTCGCGGGCACGCTCGAGGTCGGAGCTGCTTACTTGCAAAACCAGTTTCACCTTTGATCGCCGAGCGCGTTCCACTACTCGCAAAGTGCCTCCTCGCACACGTCCGAAACACCACACACCGTAGATCCCCTGCGGCGGATCCAGGCCATTTGCGAGTAGCGACTTTGCGAGTAGTGGAACGCGCTTGTCCACCTGACCGAGCCCAGATGCGCTTGCGCAGCCGACAAAGAACCGGACAGCAGCGGGCCATCACAGCCAGGCGAGCCGAGGCGCACTGGGCCCCGCCCGAGGCGCAGCGGCCTCGAGAGGCCTCCAGGAGAGGAGGTCCAGGCAGTACACTATGCCCGCTCCGCAAAAAAAAAGTTGGCTGAGCCGTACTCGCCCTTTCTTCCTCGCCTTCTTCCTCCTCCTAATCATCTCTACCCTCGTTCGCTCCTTCCCCCTCCAACTCACTTCCTTCTCCCATCCAGGGCGGGGGAACGCCGGGAT